TCAAACTAACATTGAATTTAAAATTCTAGCCTACGTGCCACCGCTAAAGAAACCTCACTGCCAGCATCATCTTCATCCTCACGATCAGCAGAGCCGATCTGGGAAATGCTGCCTTTCTCTCGCCTAATCGTGTTGCAAAGTACATAGCAATGCCACGCCAAAATGGCAGGCAAGGACTGGCTGTTGCCAGCCTGATGCTTCACAGTGCGTTCCGACTGAGCAAGGACGAAGTCTGCAAGCGGCCAAGCATAAGTGTCGCTTAGTCCGGCTATGCTGTGGAACCCCAGGGACAAGAATCGTTCGGACGGCATGACAAATCTGTACCTGCTCAACTCCAAAATCGTGCCATGGGTGAGCAGGCACGGAAGCATAGGGCCACAATCAGGCCCCGGGCTATGCAACCAGTGCTCAACATCACAGAACATGGTTCCATCCAGCCCTGCATGTTTGCTCTTCTCTGCATCATACTGCTCTGCCCGTTGAAGCTGGCCTGGGGGAAGGACAGCACGCAAAAGATGCTTGCCTTGAGGGACCTGATCAAAGAAGCAAGACCTCCTCTGCATCTGCTCCGAGCACCAATCAGCCACCAGTCCTTCATCCTCCTGGAGGAAGATGCTGCCGTTGAGCTGCGGCCGCCGTGCAAACAAACTCTCAAAATCTGCCTGGATTGCTTCTGCTGTGGTGGGCCCTACCCACACAAGGGACTCAAGGCTAAGCCCTGCGGAGAGGCGGCGATCTCGCGAAGCTGGCCACCCCAAAAGCCGTGGCCCGGCCACAACTTGCACAACGTGATGCGTGGACTCAAGGGGGCTTATCAAATGCTCCTGTATATCAAACAACGGAGTACACTCTTGGAAGAACATGTCCTCTTGGCCGTTTGCAGCAAGTGCTTTGCGCTGGCACACCCACATCGCTAGTGGAACCTGTGACAGGTGGGCACCCCTTGCTCGCTTTCCCTCGGAACTCCAGCCTTGGCAACAGTTCCCGGCGTTCGCGATCACAAGCGACTCTGGATTTCGAAGGGTGCAGCGTGGCTTGTTGACCACGCAATGTTTGTCATGCACCAGGCAGTATGCTCGATGATCCTGCGTGTCACAGATATGACAAATCAAGATGGGTAATGGAAAGACTGAATGGTTGCAGCATACAAAAATCCAAGGGAGCTACCTAGCCTACCAGCAATGAAGCATACATGGGAACCCAGTCCTCGTTCACCAGCCAGTCACTGCTCTTCAACAGAAAGGCTTTGATGTCACCGTAATGCTTTTCTACATCCTCACGAGACAACCAAGTGTCTGTGGGGCTTGGTTCCAGCTCCTCGCAGAAGGTCCGGCCTTCCTCAGGAATCTGATCTCGAATGTCAGCAAAGACGCAAGACTCGTTATTGTCCAGACAAGCAGACATGTGGCACAGGACTTGCTGGCAGCATGGATCAATGTCACACGACTTCTTGTACTCATAGTCCACACTCACACAGTACTGCTCAGCTAGAACCTGAAGCAGAAGTCGCTTAGCTTCACGCTCAGCCGCAATGCCTGAATAATCGGAATGATCGGTCAGACCCTTGGAGAGCAAGCTGATGCAACGATGGGCTCGGTCTGCATCAGAGAAAAGCACCCGCAGCACATCCTGTGGGTAGCTGACAAGCTCTCCTAAGTCTTTCGGCCCCGGTGGAAGATTGCGACGGGAAACAAGGTCTGCAAGGGAGCCATGCCGATACCTTTTGCCTTTCAGAGGAGATTTGTCAAGCTGCGGCGGTTCACCTGGCGAAAGGGAGGGGCTGCCCACACTGCTTCCGTTGGCAACAGACCACTCATCAGGCGCCACAAGACTCGCCATTTCAGCAAGGCTGGATTGCCTAAGTCCCCATAAACAAGCTTCAGCTTTGAGCTGTCACGGCACTGCCCGCCGGGCACCTCCGAGCATTGCCTGACAGTTCGTGCAACTCTGAAATAAAGTTACACAAGTAATGCTGCTGCACCTGGGATGTGACCGGCGGAATCTAACAGCGTGCATGATCACAGTCTTACCAAACACTTCGACACACTGCCTGAATCATTTCCTATCGGTACTGAACTGAACATAACCTCCTGTTGAATCATAGAGTCACAGAGTTGAATAATCATAGAGTACGTAAAAGCACACCCCTGGAATAAACCTCACCGCCAGCCAAACAGCCAAAGGCTCTGTGCATTGGAAATTGGAACTGAGAAGGAACAAAATTTCAGGACTGCCAAAGTTCAGATTCACGTGAGCACCGGAGCAGCCCCCCGGGCAGCCCCCCAGCCCAAAACCAAGCGCACGAAAGCGCACGAAGAGAGCACGCGCCGACAAAGAAGCAAACAAACGAAATCCGGCCAAAATAAATGAAATTGATCGAATCGAGGAGAAAAGTCTCCGGCAGCCGCCCGCAGCGACCCAACCCAGCCAGCGCACGAAAGCGCACGAAAGCGCACGAAAGTGCACGAAAGACGGTCTGGGCCGCCCGTCCGTTTTTGGGCCCTGGGCCCCCGCCGGGCCCTCTAAATCAATCAAGTTGCCAAGCCCCGCTCCCTGGAAGTGCCACTCCGCCAAGCCCGCCAGGCCTCTCCA